TAAGAAAATAAAAACTGAAAAGAAATATCCTGAAAAAAAAAAAGAAACGTGACTCACCTGTAAGTGCACGGCTCACTTCCGCTGATGGAGCTGTGGGAGGAAGAAATCTAAACACGAAACACGAACACTTAAGTTGGTTTTTGCCAGGTAATTACTTTCTAAACATACCCGAGATTAACGATATCTCCTGCCAGTGCATCAAACTCCCGATTTACAAGGTGCAAAGAGGCCTCAACTATAGCATCTCTAAAATTTTGCTTGATTTCACCCATCATCCCAAAGTCTGCCTAGCGAAAAAATACACAGATGAAAGAATTTTTCCGAGTAAATGTGAATGAAAGTACGTACCAATATAAGCTAGTTTACCATCAGTCGTACACAAAAGGTTGCCCGGATGAGGATCAGCGTGGTAAAAACCTGTTTCTAAAATTTGTGACAATGAACAATACGTTCCAATCTGTGCCAAAACCTGAGTCATAAGAAAGCTCTAAAACAAAAAGCTTTCTACCTCTACGAGTCGAAGATCTTTGGCTTCTGATAACTTCTGTCCCTACACAGGCACCAAAACAATAGCTAACGATATAAACTTTAAGCGTTAGCATACCTCAACCCATTCCATGATCAACACTCGCTGGCTGGAGAGTTCCTTGTACATCTTCGGGATTGTAAGATCGGGGATATCTCCAAACAAACGCCTGCCAACACACAAAAGTTACACGGAAGTTCGAAAAGAAAAATTCAAGGGAGAATTCACCTGAATCTCTCTCCATTTCGTGCTTCAGCTTCATAGTCCATTTCCTTCGAAAAAAACACACAAAAAAAAGCAAGTAAAGCGTGAAACAATGCAATGAACTCACTCTAAAGAGACTACTGGCCCATTCGTCTACAACAGCCTGCAAGGCAAGAAAACGAAGAACGGGATCAAGACAAGAATCACAATACTATCAAGTACCTGCAAATCTGTGTTAAATCTTCCAACAATTCTAGCATAGCCAGCCAGAATTCTAAGTATATAAATGTCCAAAGATATGGTTGCTTTCACCCCTGGCCTTTGCACCTTGACAGCAACAGTGTCACCACTTGGTCGAAGTCGAGCTTGATAAACCTGCGAGTTTTTTCCAGAGTAAAACGTTTAAAACCACGCGGAAGAGAAAATAAGATGTAGTAAAAGTATATCTTCTTGCCTGGCCAAGGGATGCTGCTGCAACAGGCGCGGGAGTGATTTCCGAGAACAAGACATCAACTGGAACACCAAGCTCCGACTCGATGATGCTCAAAGCGGCTTTGGTGGAGAATGGTGCGATTTGGTCTTGAAGGAGAGAAAGCTCGGCGATGTACGCTGGTGGAATTAAATCCTGACGACCTCCTCATGAAAAGAGAAAACAGAAAAACAAAAACAAAAACAGACCAAAACGGAAAAAAAATAAAAATAAAAAGTAAAAAGCGAGAGCTGTAAGTTTTGACAACGATGACTTAGTGAGAGTTTTTGAGCTTTGAGAAGCTTACTGGACGTGAAGACACTGCTTGTGCGATCTTTACAAAAGCCTGAGAGTTTAAGTAACGTTACAAATGGCATATAGAGGAAAAAACGAAAGCTTACCGGCCCAAGCTCTACTAGTGCCTCCCGAAACTCAGCAGCGCGTTTCTAAGAAAATAAAAAGTAGTTTTAAACATTATAAAAAAACAAATCGATAAAAAAGAAGAAAAGAAAGCAATACCTTGAAGAGAGCATCAGACCGGCCAAGTAACGAATCAAAGTACCGAATTCCAAGCCAGCCTCCAACTTTGAAAGAGATTTGCAGCAATCGACGCATCAAAAGAAGAGGGCGATTCTTGAAAGCTCTCGAGATTTGATCTGGATCATACTCTTTAAACTCGGTCTCGTCGTTGGACACATCAGAAATATAGCCCGAGTACTTGGAGAACTTATCTTCTTCCCAGCCCGGCTGCAAAGTGTCAAGCTTGGAAACATTCGTCCACACTCTTCTTCCTATTCACAATCATTGGGAAAGCTTCCCGCTGTGATATATGATCATACCTCGCTTGGCTCGCATTGGCTTGACGAATCGTTCGTGCCCAAGTGCTTGAAAAGCCGCCATTCCTCCGCTTGCAAGCGCCATAGCCGAGGACACGCAACTTAGACCACACACGCAAGGTTTCTATTAAATGAAATATTCAAGGAAACTATAGTTAAAATTAGAAAGGTGATAGATCCTATAAACCGGTAAGAATCTAGCAGTAAAAAGACAACGAAATTGATTAACTACGAAGAGACAAAATTGAGGCACTTATAAAAAATAAAAAATGAAAAGAGAAAAAAGAGAGAGAGAAAAACAAAGAAAAAGCAGATACATTATGTTGAAGAAAGTATCTATGAGCATCAGACTAGCCAAAAGTCTTTTGAAATTAAAATTAAATTAAGTCCAAAATAAAAAGTGATTTGCAAAAATCCACGGGATTTGTTCATTTTGATGTTGGAAAACTTGTTTCTTCTGAGCTTTAAATTTGTCTAAACACAATCCCGAATAAAGCCGTTACTAACCTGATGTTCAAGGAATTTATCAATTTCTAAAATATTAAATTAGATCAATTGTCGAGATAAAGGTTAAAAGGTAACTAAAGAATGACAAGCTTCGTCAAGCTTCCAAGCTCTCACAAACTTGTCCTAGCAAGCTCCGGTTCTTCCCGGCTATGGCTTCTCCTTGTTCCACCAAAACCTCCCCAGCGACAATCCTCACAGTTCCACTCCTCCTCTTCACCACCCCCTCGATCCACTGCTCCATCCACCTCTCAAACCTCCGGCTCCCATCCATCTCCTCCCACACAAACCCCATCATCATCTCCACCACCCTCACGTCCACCTTCACGCAAACTCCGTAGCTCCCAGCCATCCTCTCCAATCTCTCCATCACAATCTCTCCCGTGGACTCCACCTCAAACTCCCGGAAGCAAACCACCTCATCAAAGTGACCACCACCATCTTCACACTCCAAGGAGGAACACCCGAGTCCCAAGTTTAAGTCTAGTCCAGCCACCTTGCTCCTCCTAGTTCCACTCGGATCGAGCAAGCACGCCAGCTTCTCCCCCCATCTCACTCGCGACTTTCTCTTCTCGCCAACGATGGCAGCTTCTCCATCGCCAACCAAAACTGTCTCCTCCTCGCCACTTTGCTTGAACTGGATTACTGAAACCATGCTGTTCTTCGTTTCATCCACCTCGATCTCGCTGCTAGTAGCAGCAACTTCTTGCTCGTCCACCACCACTCGGATCTCCCGCGGCTCAACACCTTCGAGCCTCTCTTCTAGGCCCGATCTCACCTCCTCTCCCGCGCTCGTCGCCACCAAAGTCACCGTGTTTCCAAAGCTCACTTCTCTCCCGCTCGAGTGCTGGATCTTCCCTCGCTCGATGCAGCCGAGCACCGCCGCCTTGACACCAGCGTCCGCCTTGTCAAACTCCTCGAGCAAGAACACCGAGAATGGATTGAGCTTCACCGCGTCGGCTATCCTGTCCGTGACTGTCCGACCCCGGCTGCTCAAGCCATCCTGCTGCTCGGCCTTGGACTCCCACGCACTCTTGCGGCTCCTCCTCCTCCGCGGATTCAAGCTTATCAAAACCAGCCTGCCATCGTTGTAGACCTCCGCAAGAGCCTTCGCCATCTTTCTCTTTCCCATCACGTCCGGCCCCGTGAGCAGCAGCCATGTATCGCCTTTCACGTTGGATCCTCGCTTCCGGTCCCCGGCTCTACACTGGGAAACCGTGGAAGCGATCTTACCAGCAGCGTCACTTTGCCACGGGACTCTCTCGCAGAGTTTCTTGTGTAGGCTCTTGAAAGACACCGCTGCGTCGATTTCAACACTCCTGATCTTGGACGCCTCTACCGAGCTCTGCTTGCACCCGCTTGTGTCCTGGAGCCTCTCGTGGTGAGACTCGAGAAGAACGCTCGATGTGCCAAGCGCTAGTTCAGTCGTGACTTTGGAAGCTTTGGTGATGTTCTTGGCTGGCTTGTCAACCGAGCTGCCGAGTCCGAGAGACAAAGCCGGACCGCTTGAGTCCCTCAATTCGGTAACTGTCGAGAGCGATAGCCAGTTGGAGGACGTCGCTTTGGCACTGGCGAGGCATGGCTTGGAACTCAAGTCGAGGCCCCTGGAAGCTTGCTGGATCTTCCCGTTTGGACTCGAAGTCTGGCTCGAGGAAGAGTTGCTGTCGATCAAGTTTGGCAACGATGGCAGACAGCTCTTGGAATGCATAAGTTGGCAGTATCGGCTCCACTTCTTTCGGAGCTCTCGCGTGAGTTGCGTGGGTTCCTGCGTTTCCAAGAGGAACACCAAGTTAGCCAAGAACTTTTCATGGCTAGTTTACTACCTGTGGTGTGATCGGCTTGGAGGTGATTGTGTGATTGTTTCTCGTCATCCAAAGCGGAAGGCCTTCGACTCCGGAGCTCGACTGCACAGACTCCGTCTTGGATTGACGCTCCTGGAGCAGCACAAGGCTCTCGTGCTCGAGCTTGGCAGTGCACTCGACGCAGCAGCGTACATCCTCGAAGTTATGGTGCTCGTCTGGTAGCTTGAACAGCATCTTTGGGAAGCGGGGAAAGGACTGTTCGTGTTTCTCGACGAGTGAAAACCTGCGAAAAGTTTGTCTCCAATTGTCAGAGTAGTGATCAACCAGCAAAGCTCATGCCAGACAACATTCACGAGAAAAAGCCAAATAAGATAAAAAGAAAAAGAACGAACTCGAAGGTTGACACACGGAACAGGAAAAATGCCCAATGGAAAACATAAAAAAAATAAAAACAAAAGCACGCAAACACGGAGGAACACAAAGTTGACAAATGTAGCACTCAAAAACAATATGAAAAAATTGGTGAAAAAGCAGAAACACATGCCAAATCAAAGCGGAAAAGATATATCCAAGCAAACCATGGCAAAACGAAGAAGAAGAAAAAAGCTATATCCAATAAAACCATGGCAAAACAAAGAAGAAGAAGCTATGGAAAAACAAAGAAGAACATCCAATAAAACCATGGAAAAACAAAGAAGATGAAGCAGCTATGGAAAACAAAGAAGAAGAAGCTACATCCAATGAAACCATGAAGAAGAAGCTATGGAAAATCAAAGAAGAAGAAGCTATATCCAATAAAACCATGGCAAAAGAAGAGGAAGAAGCTATGGAACAACAAAAAAAGAAAAGAAGAAGAAAATTCTATGGCAAATCAAAGAAAGAAGCTATGGCAAAACAAAGAAGAAGATCAAGTAGCTATGGTGGCAAAACATAGAAGAAGCTATGGAAATCCAAACAAGATGAAGACCATGAAAGAAAAAGCTAGTCTCTATCAAAGAAAAGCTAAACTTTACCTTGGACGTATAGATGGAATGGAGTTCGTGGAGATGGGCAATGGCTGGAATCCCAGCCCACTCTCCATCGCTGGATACTGCGCTAGAAACCTCATGTAGCACTGGCTACTCGCGGTAGCGATCAACCAGAGCTTACTCTCGGCCCTGTCCAGGATCTTCGCGAGATCGCCCATCACCGCATTCGCCATAGCCGACACCTCCACGCACCACGCCAAGCTCCCCAGCACCGCCACCACTCGCCCACACTCCTCCACCGCCCCCGAGATCTCCACCAGCGAGCGCTGAGTCGCGTCCTTGGAGAACCCAAATCCGCGCTCCACGAACAGGATCCTCGCGTCGCGCAGCTCGCGATCGCCCTCGATCCGCGAGACGAGCTCCTTGAGCACCGAATTCGCGGCTCCATCGTCGCCCAGGAGCACTGGATTGCGCTTGCGCCGCCTGGAGAGCGTAGCGATGGCGGCGTCGGTCTCCCTGGAGCTGGAGCTGGGCTTCTCGATCGAGCACGGCCCAAGGCCAGTACGGAAGGTCTCGCCAATTTCGGCCAGGGGTGGTACGGGCTGGTGGCGATGGAGCGCCGCCTCGAGGCTGTTCTTCGCGCGAGTGCTCGAGAATCCGGCCTCGCGCATCACCCGGCTCACGCTCGGATCGTCTAGAATCGAGATGACGAGCTGCTCCATCTCCACTTTCACGGCTAGCAGCGGCACTTGCTGCTGCTCGGGGCATCCGCGGCGCTGGTGCGCTTGCGCGCGCTTGAGCGCCGCCACCAGCGCGTTGGACAGCGTCGCGATCGATTGTCCGCCGCTGGAGGAGAGATTGCCGCTGTCCGCCGAGGAGGAATTCTGGGCGTTGGCCGCGGGCAATCGCTCCAGCGCGACATTGAAGCACAGCTCCAGCGCCCGGCAATGCAGTGGATGCGGCGCCTGGCGGTGCGATTGGATGCAAGCGTGCTGGAGCATTCCGGCCGGGGACGCGATGAGGCTGGCCGCGACGTGGAGTGGAGTGACCTGGGAGTGGCCGCGGCGCTGGGCATCGCCGATCGCGCGCTTGAGCACCGCCGCTGCGTCGGATGTGAGCGTCTGCTGCACCGTCGCGATCCCAGCTCCTCTCATATCTCCTCCCCGAGATCGAATTCCTCCCTCCCTCGACTCCTCTCTCTCTCTCTCACTCTCTCTCTCTTGTTCTTGCAAGAACAGTTAACTATTCAAATCGGCGGTTCATGCGCTGCGATGGCTCGCCTTTCCAATTCTCTGCGATCCACGCCTTTTCTAGCGCAGCAATCCAGCGCTCTTCCGGCTCGACGCTACTTTTCTTCGAGCGCGACGCTTGGCGCGCCATAGGAAACCATCGACATCTTCGTCCCGGGCGCCAAGTGGAATCCCTGACTCCAATGCGCGCCCAAAGCCCGCCTGACGCTATCGATCCCTTGTGTGCTCGCGCGCTCACGATCTAGCGCTGTGGCGTCTGGCCAATTTCTAGAGATCCATTGCTAGAGCAACAGGACAAACGCGGCATCATCATCGCAAGCTCCGGCGTCTTCTTTCCGCGCGAATTGCAGCATCATCTACTCCAGCTAGCGGCCGCTGCCAAGGATTCTACGCCCCAGCCGCGCGCATTGACAATCCCGAAATTCCCCTTTTTCCCCTCGCTCTCACTCACTCGCGCGCTTGGCAAGAGAACAAAACACTCTTTGAGAGACCACGAAAATTCAAGGGAGCCATGGGGCCGGCCGTACCCCTTCTTTCCCCCTTCCGTACCGGTCAACAGTCGAGCGCTGGGAGTTCCGCCACGGAATGTCCGAATCGATGGACGACAAGGGCCGCGGGGCTTCGGAATGATCCAACGGAGGGCCACCGCGGACCACAGGCCTCTTTGACTGGACCTTTCGCTTTCTTTTCCCCCCCCCAGTTGGACGGTCCAGGAGGCGCCACCTGGACGGCTGCCAAGCGTCGCCCTCCATCTATAACTTCTCCTCGCGAGAAGGCTTTTTGGTTCCTCTCATTCTTTCTGGCTGTCGGTGTGTTGGGCTGTTTTTTTCGCAGTTCCCTTTCTTTTTTCGTTTGGCCGAGCAAATAATGCCCTAAAGGTAGCTCCATCATTGTAAAAAGCCCTGCCAATTATCGAATCAAATTATTACGCTAAATCCGTTTTGTGAATTTATCGAAAAACAAACTCCGCCCTCGTGAAATACACCCAATGCGTTATTAAAGCATATAAATGATTGTTTTTATTCGAAAAGAAGCCAAGGCTTTTGTAAAAGGTCGTGGGGCTTCTTTCCCTTTCACTTTCCTCTGAAAGCCTTTTACCTTTACCCAATGCTTTGACACGTCGGCGGGGGGTGTGCGCCAGAGTGGCCGCCACGCGGCCACTGACGTGGCAGGGCATATTCTCTGGTGACAGAAAATAAACTTTTAGGTCAGGCTTGTCGCTCTCGCTTGTAGTGTTTTGCAGGAAGGTGGGTTCATCATGGCACCATTCAACCTCAACCTCAACACTGGGCCAAAGGCTGCAACCACGTCCCTCTCCCGGCTTTTTCCACAAAGAGAGAAAAAAGGAATTTTTCGAGAGACGCGCAGAAAGAAAATTTTAATAAAAAAGGTTTCACACTGACCAAAGAGATAGAAAAGCCTGCCATGAAAATGTGTTGTTAGATCTTGTTTCTGTGCTGTTCAAGGCTGTATTGGATTGCGCCCTGCTCTCGCTCTGTTGCATTGCACACGTTGAGTGTAGCCAAAGATCATCCAGGGAAATAGACCTCCTGGAATTATTTTATTTCTAGAAATAATTTCTGGGAATTAGTAAAGTATGGCTGGCGCGATCTATCTCGCCCTCAAGACTCCGAATACTGTCACCGTGCCTGCTTGGAAAGCAAAGTTTTATCATATATGCGATCACTTGCTATTTCTATAAAGTTTTCACATTATTACTTGGTTTCTCTATTATTGCGCTCTGGTCTGTGGATTTCATCATGAGGGCTCAGGACAATTCTACGTTTTTTAAAGTATTTTTGAGTATTTCTACATAAGATATACGTAAAATATATTGGTATAGTATCTAACAGGGCTGATTCCCTCCTGGCGCACCAGAGCCGTCTAAACAAACAAATGCAGACAGTGCACCGTCGATTCGGCTCCCGCCCAAAAGTTCCAACAGAGAACTTTTGAGTATTAAGTTGCAAGGAAAAAGATTCCGGCATATCCGCCCCATTTGTTGTCTCTTCTTCCTCTCTCCATGCAGCCTTTTGGTGCGCGAATGAGACCTGTGTGATAGCTCAAACGCCCTTTCTTTTTTTTTTCTCTCAAAGTGCGCTGGCATTGCGATAGGGAGATTGATATTTTCTCCACGACACCTTTTTGATAGATGTATTTGGCTATGGTTAGAAAAGAGTTTGATTTTTCTAGAGTCAAGGTCGAGACGAATCTAGATCGAGCACAATAAACGCCTTGGAGAGAATTCGAATGGAAAGACTACACGGAGAAAGGTGGCGAGAGAAAGGTGGTGGCCAGGTGTGGTCCACAAGTCACAAGCGGCCACCAGACCGCGTGTCCTTGTGTACGTCCGTGGCCGCAATTTTCAAAGCCTTTGAAAAGCTTCCAAATCGGCCGAGATGAATGCCCCGCGCCCCTTTCTTTTCTGGGCGCAAAAGCAGCGAATCTTTGGGCCTTGAAATCGATCGATCCACGGAGATTCCCTGCTTTTGGTGTTTTTTGTATTATAGACCAGCCTTTTAGCTTTGCAGCGCAAGAAAGAAAATAAATTCATATAAAAAAAACTCGGGATTTTTTCTTCTCTAGAAAACAAGAGGAGAAAAGGCGTTTCCACACAAAACACTATAATTCGAGAGATGCTATTGCCACTGAGATCTGGACAAGAAAGCTGTGGAGAAAACCTTTTGAAACAAAGGTACCCTGGGACTGGAAAAAAGGATTTGACGTTTAAAGGGCTACAATGGAATGCATTGGAATACGTACTTCTATCAAAGATTCGCCTTTAAAGTCCTAAAGGTGGTGCCTCAATGGAAGGATATGCCTTTTACAAGAACAGGATTGCCCTAAAATCTAGTGACCTAAAATCACCAAGCCCTAGAACGCAGGCGATGCGCGCTAGAATGTGGAGGTAGGGCTCGATCGATCGCGGTCTCGCATGGATCTAGGTATGGACGCTCACCGGAGCAGCAGCGCCGTGGCCAGCGCCAGCGGCGCCAGCAGCTATGGCGCGCAATTCCTCTTCAACCTCAACCTCTTCCCGCGATCGCTGTCGACCGTGCTCGAGGTCTCCGGATTGATCCCTGGCAGGTCTCACTCCTCCTCGCAGCTAGAATCCGGGAGCTTAGTCCGCAGTAGTGGCAGCAGCGATAGATTAGTCGGCGGTGGGGGTGGTGGTGGCAGCGGCGAGGTAGCGATTAGAATTATCGGCGAGGACGAGGAGATTAGAATAGCGCCGAGCTCTTCCTCTTCTTCTTCCTCTTCTAGAGGATTGAGTGGAGAGAATGGCTCGAGTACTTCGTTAGCGATAGGTGGTGGTGATGAGGAGCTGGGAGGTTCTCCACGATTCAACGTTGGTGGAGAGGTTGCCGGTGGTGATCCTAGTTCCAGGGAGGCGCCCGCTGCGACGACTACCACTACGCAAAGATATGACTTCCAGCCACTTGCGAGATGGTTGGAAAACGTATTGCCTTTTACGGTCCTTTTGCTCTTCGTTTTCATTCGTCAACATCTGGAAGGTATAGCGGTCACGGTTGGTCTCACTGCCGTGATGATCAGAGCGAATGTTGTTCTTCGCAGGCAAACAGCACTGAAGGTACAAGAGATTGATATCTTGCCTCGCAATCGGAGCCTAATGGCTTTTCATTTTCGTTTTTCTTCTTTGTTGCACAGGGTGAACGGAAGAAACTTATGACAGCGGCTGTGGGCATCGTGTTGGTATGTCATATAGTTCTAGTGTATTCGTGGTATACTAGCGAGGCCATTTGGAAGCCATTGCTGCTGCTTCCGCCGCGGAAGATTCCAAAGTTTTGGGAGGCCATTTTCACAATCGTGGTGAATGGTATGTTTCGAGCTGGCTTAGATTTCTTTCTTTTCTCACTGTCCTCCCTCCGCTCGCAGATGTAATGGTGCGGCAGGCGGGAATGGCTGTCAAGTGCGTGCTTCTTTTGACATGTAAGAGCACCAGGGGGCGTCATTTTCGCAAACAGGTTGGATAGCTATCCCACTTCCATGCAGCTTTTTTTTTTTTTCGACCTTTTCTAATCTCAAGGTCTGTCAATTCTTCCAGGGCCAACTCCTAACAGCGGTGGAGTATCTTTTGCTCCTGGTCCGAGCTTTGATACCCGGACCAGTTTGGTACCGGTTCTTTCTCAACAAAGAGTACGGCAACGTGTTCTCCTCGCTGACAACGGGTCTATACCTCACTTTCAAGTTAACTTCAGTGTTCTCGAAGGTAAAATGACTTGAGATTTGGGATTGTCTCTTTCGTCGGCTGAAGGCTCGTGCGTGGTTCCAGGTACGAGAGTTTATCGGGGCAGTGGGTCTTGTCACTCGTTGCGAAGTACAATACGGGAGCGCTGCCAGTTCGGATGAGGTTTGTCTTTTGTATCTTCTACGAACGACACTCTGGAAAAAGGCCTTCACGCGTGGTATCTTTTTTGTTTTCTTTGATCGGCAGGTCCTTGCAGCCGGGGACATGTGTGCGATTTGCCAGGAGAAGATGCATTCCCCGATATCTCTCCGGTGCAAGCATATATTTTGCGAGGACTGCGTTTCGGAATGGTAAGGGCTGGGCTTTTGTTTTTTTCTTGCTCGTTTGAATCGTTATGTGACAGAACTGAGGCTCTTTTGTTTGATGTTACAGGTTTGAAAGAGAGAGAACTTGCCCCCTGTGCCGAGCAGTGGTCAAGTTTGCAAACTTTCGATCATTTGCGGATGGCAGAACCAGCCTCCTCCCTCAAATTTTCTAATGTATGTAAATATCAAATCATATTTTCTAATTGTGCACGCTACTGTCGTGGCAGCAAATCCAAAATTCTGATTGGGGGCTTTGGCACGAATCAAACGAGCTTTAGCATTGAGACTGGGATCAAACACAAGCCTCGCTCTTGTAAATTGCGTTGCCATTTAGATTCGAATATCTACGAGACGAGTGAACAAATCTTTAGTAAAGGTTTGCAATTGATTTGTTTACCTGGATTTTCCTCTGCAGGAAATGTACATATTCGATCGCTTTGTCCAACATTTCTTCGTCGTGAAACTAAACAAGAGAGATTTTTTGGCTGTGAGATTTTTTTTTGATCTCGTCTACCTTGTTTCCATCTGGTATCAATCGCCGAAGAACACAAAGTTGACTTTCAATGGCCTCGAAAGCTCCCTAAAGTTTTTTTGAGACACGAAAAAAACGAAAGAAATGGAAGTGAGGACCAAACGAGATAAAACAATGGTTCTTCCATCTTGAAACCACAAAGGAATAGCTTACATTGTCAATCTCTGATTCGTTGTCTTCATTAAATAATGACTTGAGTATGTTTTCTCCAGCCTGTGATGAAGCAAATAAATGCCAGAAAAACGAGGAAAAAAAAAAGTAACTTGCTCTTACTTGTTCTTGCGATCGATGATCCGTGACTGGCCCCGAGGAGGCGTCTGAGAGCACCGAGAGCGTGGAATCCTGGCGAGCGAGCGATCTCTTTCGCGGCCTTCGAGCTTGTGGTTCTTGGACTCGAGGAGACAATGACAATGGCTGCTGATCCAAGTAAGTCGTCCACCCCGACTCCTCCGCCTCCTCACCGCCATTGCTCCGCTCCTCCTCCGCCGCCACCACCACCACCGAGCCTCTGGATTTCTCCTCCACCACCGTGCTCTGCAAAGATTCGCGCGATTGCATCCTCCGCCGCTTGCATCCCATGGGAATTGGAGAGGAAGTAGAGTGGAATGGAGAGAGAGATAACGTTCTCTCCAAAAAGAGGAGAGAAAAAGAGAGAAGAGAATGGAAATATGATACGAAGATATCAGCCAAATGTGGAGCTGCCCTCGCAGCACCTTTACAGTGGGTTTCTAGTGTCACACTGACGGCGGGGTAAAAGGAGAAAAGTAGAAAACAAAAATCTCGTTGGTAAAATATCAGTGGCGGTAATACGGTCGTTGTTTTTACCACTGGTTACCCTTGTCGGTAGAAGTTGCGGTTGGAGGGGAGGGGCTTGTCGGGAAGAGACATTGATTCTTCCGTCACTGCTCCCCAGAAAGGGGCAGGTCGCGTATAGCGCGCGTTTCTCATTGGCCGGCCGGAAGTACAAACAAAGGCTTGTTTGGCGCCTCATGGCCGCCCATCCCACCGTACGGACGGGTGTGGTCCACCCGCCAGGCATGGCCGTTTATGACACGAGAACTGTACGGAAATTTTGTTGATAGGGGGAAAAAAAAATTTCTATGATACATCGCGCTGTACACAAAAACAAGGGAAAATGGGGAGAGCAAAAAAACAAACCAAAAAGAACGAGGCCGAGTTACTTACACTCCTCTCTTCGATCGTTCTTTCCTTTTTTTCCTAGTTTTTGTTCTTCCTCTTTTTTTCTTTTTGGTTTCTTCACGCGTGTTTGTTTAGCCTTTGATCGCCTCGGCGCTCAAGCTCGCGTTGATCTCCTCGTCCGTCGGCTTCGCCGGTGGTCCCATGCAAGATCTCGCGACCGATTCAAACAGCCTGTCGATCTCCGGAGCGCATCGCACGAATGCGTGGTTCCAAAAGTTGTAGCGGGGATTCTGCGCGAGATAAAGGGAGCGTGGTGAGAGATATTTCTAACGAAAAGGAGAAAGAAGAAAGGAGGGACAACGATCTCCCCCATACCTTGATTAGCTCGATGAAAGTGATGAGCAGACCCCACGGATGAGGACGGTTGACGATGAGCCTTTCCAGCAAAACTCTCGTGATTTGCTCTTGGATGATCTCCTGCTTTGAAGCAAAGCGCAAGGATTGAGCTAGAGCCTACATAGAAGAGCACAAAAGGAAAGCTTACCTGGCTGGCTTCGGCGAACAAGTAGAGCAACACGCACGAGAAGTAATGCGTATGGTTGTTTGGATAGCGGAGCTGGTTGGCGATGGCGTTGAGGAACAAGTAGCGGCCCTCGGTATCAAGCTCTACAATCAGCTTCTGGAATATGTCCATGGGAGCGCTGTGCGTGATAGGCGCGGTCGGGACACCGATTTGCGGGGCGGTCTTTGCCTGTAGCTGTTGGATTGCCTGCAAAAAGAATGGCGTAATGCCTCGTCACAGCAGTAAGTAGCATTCGCATACCTGCATTCCCACATAGAGCACCAGCGAGTTTATCAGAGGGACGTTGTACCGCGTTCCACTCAATCCGGATTCGTGCTGTGACAATAGCAGCCGCTGCTTCAAATCGACAAGAAACAAGGGTGGTGACAGGCGCGTCTGCAAATGAAGAGCACGTTATATTGTGCACTCTGACGAAACAAGCTCACACACCTTCAAATACTCGTCAACGTCACCCTTGAGTTGCTTGCTTTTCAAGGCAGCTTCCACATCAGACAGTATGCGAGGAGGATGGCTTATTTCCGGCAACAAATCGACCTGCGCAAATACCATTGTCACAAAGACGTCAACAACAATGCACGGAATACCTTCAAGTTTGGAGTAAATGGATCTGGCAGTCGCATATTTCGTGGGAATGCGCTCAGTATGAGATTACGCATTTGAATACAGCTCGGGGGAATGACGTCGCAGAAGCTGAAATGATAATCGCAGAGGAACTCTGGGAAGTCGTGGAGGAGCACAAGCAACACGCGTAAAGTGCCTTTGTACAGCAGCCTGATCTGTAAAAGTTTAAACCGACAAATGAGTCTGGGTGCTAGACATCGTGGTCCAAGCTTACCGGGTCACTGAGTTCCGCACTTCTCAAGTAGGGGTCCATAAATCTGAAAAGCGATACAAGGAGGCGTTGAAAATTCGGCCAGCCTTTCGGTTGCTGAACTAAAAGTTGCTTCGGCATAAAGGTACGATGACTAATCAACTCCAACCACACAAAGCTGCAAGAGAGACAGCAAATTAAACAAACCACAGAGGTATTATATACCACACCTCCATCCCGGCGTGTTCAGGGGTTGCAACATCGTGAGGGCATTGGTGAAGGAAAGAAGAATCTGCTCCAATCCATAAAATCAATTGAAGTGGACCAAAAGCACGTACCTGATAAACGCTAGAATCCAATGATGGGTCTGGCGCATTAAAATCCATGAGCCATGTTAGAAACAAGCGGAAGTAAGGACGCGGCTGAAACGAAGTTTTCTTCTCGTCAGCGTCCTTTTGAATCACGCGCACAGTCACGTTCAAAACCTGATACAAATACCAAGCATAAGGAGCAGCAGCTGGGAATAACACATCAATCACGAACTCTGTTAAGAAGGCCGACTTTATTTGCTGTTGATTCCGCCGCATAAAACTGCATGAGCCAATATTGTTTGAGACAGTCCATGGTTAAGATTCTTCAACTCTTACCTTCACAAGGAGCACAACAAGTTTGGCGTACAAATCAACGGCCGCAAAATTTAAAGTGCCAATAGGAGAGGATTCCACAGAAAGCGAATGCGCCACAGCTAGCTCCTGCGCACATTAAAGTCAAAAGACGGAAAATAGAAAAGGCTGTGCAACATACAGTAAGAATTCTGAAAAATTGATCCGTCACATCATCGCCTTTGAGGAAACCAGATTGCGTAAGTTGAGATATAAAATTTGCATATGTTTTATCATTAGCGCCTGGGGTATTGCACACCCGAGCCCATTCATCGAACAGGAGGGCAATCTACACAAAAAGACAAGCATCAATCAAGTAGGAAGAAGAGGAAAGACGAAGTCACCTGATCACGAAGTCCAACCGGATCAGTGTCGCGAGGAATAGGTTTAACATCATCTTTCACAGGCCGACTTACAGGTCCGGGTGGTTCCGTCGGTAAAGTTGGTCCAGGCAAAATGTTGGGGACGTGGAGCTGCGTACCAATAAGAGAACAGAGAAAAGCATGAGTAACAAATGTGTCTGACCATTTTCGTACCTTCAGAAGCTCTGCGCCACTTCCATCTGGAAGTAAAGCAGAAGTTCCATCACTTGACAATACTTCTTGATGTCGGGCTCCTCCGTCAGGAAAACTGCATAGACTAATGAGCCTTTAAACACCGGTAGCGTGTCAAAAGGTACCTTGTTGGCGACTGGGTGCGAACATCCACTTCGTCAGCATTGACATCCGACGCTTGCGTAATAGCGGTAGAAGTATGAGAAGGAAATACGTTCGGATAATTTGGGCGAGTGCTTGCAGCTGAGGCTTGTGTTTGCCATGGCAGACGAGCGAAATCCTGAGCACACATCAAAAGCAATTACATTGACATGGAGAAAAGAAAAACACAATACCTCAAAAACACGTTGTTGAGCGGGTGACAATCTACCAGCTTTGGGTCGAAGAGACTCAGGTAACCTTGAAAGATTCCCTTGAGTGTATGCTTGATGAACAACATCCCTTTGTGTTCTTCTAGCTATCAAAATAGGTGCCATGGAATCCTCAAGATCTCGCAAAGCCTTTACCACATATCAGACGCTTGATCATTGCAAAAATGTTTTAACTCCTACCTTCTCTGTTGCGGCTTTTTCAATAACTGCACAGCCTAAATCAAGATTGTCGTTCGTCACGACGTGCACAGTCTGCTCCAATACGTCCGAGCTAATACTCGGCTGGAGAGCGTTGCGAATATGACTTGCCATTGCAACACGAAGAGGTTCCTATAGTAAAAATTTAGATAACAGGTGTAATGAGTTACGTTTTACCTTGCACGTCACATGAGCCAAACTTCCCGCCAAACTCGCAACCATTAGATTTGACGAATGAAGCGTTCTATTGTCGTCCGCTTCAAGGGCATAATCCTGCAACGAACGGTCTTATATAAGCGCATCGCGTAAAATGGATGTACCTTCTGTATTAGCTCCCTCGTCGTCATGCAAGCGATGGTAACACTACGATCAACCACAGGGGCAATAATCTCCCTAATAGCCCGTTCCATTGCCAAGGGAATAATTCTGAATTTAAACGCGTAAGACATCATAAAAACGGAAACAATGATTTACCTGTGCATTTGCTGTTGGTGTTGCTGACTTATTCCTGCTAGTCTATTATTAAGAACCACGTACACATTAAGATTTGAAAGAGTTGAAGCCTGAACAAAACTCCCCGTTATGCAAACTAGTCATTACACTTGGAAGACGAACCTGTCCTGAAGAAAACGGAGATGGGGCAGCGGAATGCGCTTTAACACGTTCTCCAACGAAAGGCAGGACCTTTTCTTCATCTTGGGATGCATTTGGAGATACATGAACAGGTAGCTGAGTACAACCAAACGAATTATTTGAGTTAGCTTTATCAGGAGCACATACCTGAGTACCCGTCGCATGGGGAACTGGATGTGCCGGCAGCTCCGGAAGAAACTCCACCTGATTGAGGTTAGATATTATGCTATGCTCCGTGGTAGCTGGTGGATGGGTAGCGGCAATAAGTTCTTTATTGGAGAAGTCGGGATTTCCTTCAACTTCACGCATTCTGCCTTTTACTAGTTGTGTTTGCTTTACGTCCTTCATTTCGACACCAAGGTGCTTGAAAAGAACCTGAAACAACATAGAAAAAGATTTACAATTTAAAATGTACTTACGACTGACCTCAATGTCAAATTTCAGGTTCATCTTTAAGTTCGGAAGCGCATAAATTTCGGATAGAAGGCCCAGAATGCCCATTGTCCAGGGATTAGGAGGTTGATACACTTGACTTGTTTGGCATGGTTCCAAAATCTGCAAAAATATAAACTCTGAATCATATATGGGAGAGACGGCCAGCTGTTACCTTGGAAGTAAATGGTATAACAGCAATCATCAGCCCCCTCTCATATGCCTGTTTTATAAAAATGTAAGAGAGCAAGAAAACAAAATATTTTCACCTCCGTAATCAGTGTTTTCGGGTCAATTTCTTTGGCTTTCAGAACTTTATTCCGCCCAATTGTAAGTTTTCCCAGCCAGCTGCCCAAATTCTTTAAAAGCGAGCGCTCTTCCGAACTTGACTTGATCAGTTCCGATCCCAAAAGCACCTGCATAAACTAACGCTACAGATAGCACAATCAATGAAGTACCATACCTTGCAATTCTGGTACGTGGCATTGACAATTTCCTGATCCAAAGCTCTTGAATTCATTTTATCGAGGAACTTTAGGTAAATATCATGAAAGTTTGGTTCAATGCTCGCCCTTCAAAATCAAATTATACCGCATATACAAATGGCAATGTCAACAAATACCTCTTCATAACCATATATTGAGCGAACCAGGGGTAGTATTTGTCTTTCAAAACTTCTAAGCACTCCTTTGCTTTCGCTTCATAATTCGCTACAGATATATTGTTGATAATAAAGGCAACCTTGTCCTCCGTCTCAAGGCTGGGATTCTGCAAATTCGCACCAGAGCATAGAGTAAACAACATAGAAAATCGGTCTTACTTCAATCGGATCTCTCCTTTCGGCAGCTGCGACCAGTGTCTCAATGTTCAACGCATGTCCAAATCCAGGAGTAGTTACATGTCGGCCTGTGACTGGAGTTTAAAACACAAGATTCCAGAAGAGAAAAAGCAAAAATCACACCTGGAACTGACATAGTTCTCGCTGGTTTTGAGAAGTGCGAACTAGATTGTTGAGCATTCATAGCCTGTTTTGAAACGGACGTCAGGATGCAAAACGCTCACAAAAATACCACCTTTTGTTGCCCCTTCAGTATTTCATACAGTTGAGCGGTAGAGGAAACGGATTGTGAAAGAGGTTTGTTCGCCACCAGCGTACCACCTGCACTACGCTCCTCCTGCTGCTGCGGATTCAGGTTCTGCGCAGCGTCCTTAGAAAAACACGTCAGACTAACATATGTGTTCCGCGTACATACCAGCTCAGGCTGCACATGAGCGTTCTGTTGATCACTAGAAGGATTTGCTAGGACGTCAGTTTGCGTGGACGATGCGCGTGCCAGCGAGCGCTCAATATAATCAACAAGATCCATATGGCCGTCTCTCATGTGAGATATCTGCAAGATATGATTGCAGTACTGTGGCCATTCTTCAAGCCGGCTTCTGAATTGCTCCAGTGCAGTCATGCCAAATGAAAACATCTGCAGGAAACGGAATAGGTGAAGGAAAAGTATGCAGTTTTTCTATCTCACCTTCGAGTCAGGAGGTTTGCGCAAGGAGTCTAAAACGCAACGTAAGGCGACGCCTAAGGTGATCGATGACACCAGCTGATGACTTATAAGTTTACCTACGGAAAGATGTGTTAGCTATAGTCATAAAAAAAAACTTTCTGATACCAAATAGCACAGCAGTAATTTTGAGTTCTCGCTCCGGGTATCTTGGAAAGAAGCGATATTCATCAAACAGACTATGAATCATACATGAAAATACTTCGTGCTCCCTGCATAGTTGGAAAAAAAGCAAATAAAGTCATTCGCTAATAAGACAACTTGGAAGCGAACCTTGGTACTGAAGATCCATTGAGCCTTTCTAACATCTCCACAACGTTTTCAATGGTAAGCTGGCCTTTGTATATCTTCTGAAAGTATACGTTTGCCTCCTCTTCAACATCACTTGAAAATGCTTCAGACGACGACTGCTCGGTACCCGCACCGCTAAGAAGACGTGGATTTGCACGAATTGCAGCCGCGTGCACACGTCTCATTTCTTCGACAAGTTCTCTCGAAGATAACTGCGCTGAAAATGCTTGGAGTACCTAAAGAAGGTTTCAGAAAACTTGTAAAGGACACATAAAAAGAAAAAACCTTGAAAAAGATTGCCGTTGTTTCCATAGAAAGTCCAATCGGTCCACTCCGGGGAGTTCCCGACTGTCCATTAAAACTTTCCACTAACAATCTCTCCCTCAGAAAGCTCAAACAGGCCTGCATATACAGTTGAGCTTCGTTTTACAGAAAACAATGTATTTACCTGAAACAAGGGTTCCTGATATACTACTAGATTGTCGTGCAACCACTTCTCAAGGTTCAGGAACTCTCTTCTTCCTGCTAACGCTGCGAGATCAATAGAGAACTGAAAAGGTGTACCATCGAGCACTTCCGAAAGAACCTGAAAAATGTATAGTCAATGCCAAAGTCATATACAAATCAGCTGTACAATACCTTTAACTCCTGACAAACGTCTAGAATACGACCAATTGCGCTTGGCTCTTTGGAGTGGATCTCGACCATGGCTTTTTTCATTAGCTCCCTACTTAAAAGCCATAGTTGATGCATTACGAGACTTGCATGCTGATTTATGCCAAGATACGCAGAAAACAACGGCGTAAAATATTCGTTTTGAACAAGGTTCCAGTCCGTCTGTGGAACGATAAAGCAAATTGTCGAGATGCTCAATGTAGAATAGTGCTGTACCTTCAGCTGGGCTAATCCGGTGAGAAGCAGCTCCGGACAGTGCTTCGCGGGGTATTCTAGCAGAGATCGAACGGCCTCCCCGTGGCCTAACTCTGCTAGCCGGCACAGCGTTTCAAGTAAATCCATGGATAGCCAAGCATGGTTTGGACTACCAAACGCAAACCTATGGTAACCTTCCAGCAGCATCTTCAAGAAAAATAAGAAAAGAAATAAGAAGTTCAATAAAAACAGGATTAAAAAAAATATTACCTGTTTTCTGTGAGAGCTTGCGAACGTAAAAATTTCAGGTGGCGCAACAGCTGCATGCCGTAAAAATGAGAGTTGTCCTTCTGTATTTTTCCAAATTCTCCCGCAAACAGCTTGTATAGGGAACGTATCCTGAAGACAATACAACTAAGGTCATCGCTTCGGAAAAGTAAAACAAGCCAACCTGAGAGTTCCTTGTAAAGAATGACATAAGAACCGACAGAGCCTGTTGGTCGGGAACGAAAAACCCTTCATGATCGAGATTCTCTATCACTAGACGCCAGTCCAGAGCAGGAGCCTGTAGGAAGATATCCACAAATTAACGGGAAACGGAGTAACAGCAATGATCTTACCAACTCCTTCAAAGTATCGATCAGAACATCCTGATTCCATGTACTCAACCACGGAGAATCACCTACGTAGGAGGGGCTGTCGCAGAGCACCGAGAAGACAGTGGCATAAGCTCCATGGACGTCCTCGACTCCGAGATGAGTTCGCGACACCAGCCCAATGATCTGCGCTACATCCTTCTCGTTTAGAGGAAGGAAGAACGACAGTAGCCTTTTGCAGTGAGTGGCATCCACGGAGCATGCATGGCCGAGCTCCTCCAATACGAGCCCGGCTTGCAAAGAGCCCTCTAGCTGCAAGAGCGCCTCCGAAGTATCGGGGTCGCTGGTAGCAACAGCGTCAAATCTCCTGGAAAGCAGTTCTTCGTTAGAGAGTGAAGATATTTTGCTAGAACATTACCTCAGGCAATCTCTGAGCTCTTGCCCTGGAGCATGATCACCGGCAGTAGCTTGCGATGCCATTGCCGTCGGCCGCTACAACATCGTGGTCGCGCCTTGGAATTTCACGCGGCGCGCGCGCAAGCGAGCGAGATTCTCGTCGCGACGAAGAGCAATGCGAGGAGCTACGCAAGCGCCGGATGGATGGACTAAAACCCTAAGCCTCTTCCAGTGGGAGGAGGTTTTAGAACCTGGATGGATGGACTGTGCTCGCCTCCGCCAGAGGAGAATCACGATCGAAGAGATGGATCGAAGACGACGCTGCTCGCGACGCGATACCTCCGCGCCTTGTCGCTCGAGGCAAAGCTCCAATTGATAGATTAGGGTAAAATCGAGCTTACCTAGGGCAGAGGCAATGGCGGAGGAAGGAGGAGGAGGAGGCGATGTCGATGGCGAAGACATTCCTCGCGATGCGCGAGTTGTGCGATCGATTATGCGATCGATGGGCGTGGCCGAGTATGAGCCGCGAGTCGTGAATCAGTTCCTGGATATGTGGTATCGATATGTGGCCGAGGTCTTGGGGGACGCGCAGGCCTACTCGGAGCACGCTGGGAAACCGGCGATCGATTGCGAGGATGTGAAGCTCGCCGTGCAATCCCGCGTCAATCACTCGTTCTCTCAGCCACCACCGAGAGAGGTAAGCAAATTCTTTCCTGGTCTGTGGTTTTCTTTGAAAGAATTTTCTTTAGATCTATGATCGGTGCTAGAACAGAATTTCTAGTGCTTGGAAGGCCCTCTAGATTGCGTCTTTGTTCTTTGTTCTGTTGTTCTTCCTTAAGTTTGGGTTCTTCCGAAACATGTTCCATCCTGGTAAGCTTGAATTATTCTTTTCTGGTTTGTGGTTTGTGGAAGAAATCGTCAAGCTAGATTTATGATCTTTGTTTGTGGTTCTCGAACTGAATTTCTAGAGTAGTTTTTGGAGTCTGGAAGCTAGTCTTGACTTTGTCATCCTCTACATTTCTTTGTTCTTTGCATTGTTGTTCTTCCTCATCTTCCCAAACTAACGCATGTGTATGTGTTCCATCTTTTAGACACTCTTGGAGCTAGCAAAAGTTCGCAACAGCATACCATTGCCAAAGGTGATCGGAGGCCCGGGCTTGGCGTTGCCTCCAGATCAAGATACACTCACGGCAGTGAACTACCAGCTGATTGTACCCACTAGAACACTGCTCAATACCGAGGACATGGACTACGAACAGGACGAAGACAAGACGGATATGGAGCCTGCTGCCGATCTGCATCTTCCAAAGCCGGACAGAAAAGTCTCCTTTGCGATCAGGAGATAGACTAGATGCTCGCCTCTTCGGAGTTTTTCGGTGAGTTTGCCTTTCAGGCTCCGCTTAGAACTATCTTCTAACTCCAGTTGGTCATTCAGCTCAGCGCGGCTCACTTTATTCCGGCAAGACCATTCCTTGTACTGTCAATTGATGGTACTCTATGGCCTCGTGAAGAAACTGGTTCTCCCGTTTGTATGTAGCGTTTTCTTGTACAAGCCGAGCTTTTTCGGCCAGGAGGGTCTCCAGCTGCCTTCTCACCTGTAACAAGAAAAATATTCAAGGTTCGAGTTTTCTCAGAATTTCTTTTGCTTACCAGATCATCTTCCTCGGGTGCATTTCCTTTGCTCATACTGCCGCGCATTTTTCTGTTCTCTTCTTCTAGTTGTGACGTCCGGTTTCTCATGAAGCAAAGCTCCGCTCTCACGGTCTTGAGCTCGCGGAGTAGAAGTTTGGCTTTGGCGGCCATAGACATCGCGAGCTGTTTGATCAGACGTTAGCGTCAGCCGGAGACTACACAACCGAAAGCTGCTTACATCGCTGGAAGGCTTGAGCTGAAACTTTGGACTCTCCTCTGTTCCAGTTGATGAAGACGACGGAGACTTTTGCGAGGAGCTGTAAGTGATGCAGTCAGAATTTTGATCTGATGACTCACTTCTCTGTGGTGATCTCTGTGGTGATGCAGCATAACAGTTTGGATCCGATTCGATCAGAGTGAATGACTCCTGTTGTTCCAACGAAACGAAGTTCTTCACTTGAGGAACTCAAAACCTCGATGGTAAACTTACCGCAAGCGCGCTGCCAATGGTGTCACTCAAGAGCGACAGTGAAGAGGTAACAGATTGCAAGCCTTCCTGCAGCTTGGAGATTTGGCAGCTTACTTGGTTCTTCACAGACAAAAGATTTCAGCAAGAAAAACATGGATCAAGAACGAAAGCAAGGAAGCCAACGTACATTTTCCAAGGCCGTTTCATTCTGGAACTTCTTTCGATTGGAGGGCGTGAGCATCCTGGAGCGAATCGAGAATACCTCCTCGTTCTGGGCATTCCACTCCTTGAAAGGACTTCTAGAGCTTAAGGTACTTCCATTTTCAATCGCAGCAGCAGCCATCGCTCGAAAGCGTTCCTTTTCTCCGATCTTTTTCTCGTTCGTTTGATACAGATCTAAGCTCTCGAATCGAAAGAACCGAATGAGAGGATTAGAAAATCTTCCTGGAAGATCTCTAACCGCGAAGCGATGAGAGCTAAAATGCTAATGAGAGGAGAGCGCACTTCTTTTCCAACGGGCAGTGTATTGGAGACTTGATGAATAGCGTTGGTCCGCAACACATGGAAGGATACCACGTGGCGGGTCTGGATTCGTCCAGCTAGATTGGCTTTAACGGCAGTGTTCTCTTGGTGGCGGAGAATATTCGGCCTTTTTCAACGGTCGCGATGGTTGGTAAGGAGATCAAGAAAGAAGAGTGCAGCCACGGTATCGCCAGTGACGTGACGGTACTCATCCTGTCGCGGCTACCGTTGCGCGACGTCGCGCGGTGCAGTGCGGTATGCCGTGCGTGGCGGGAGCTTACCGCCGTGCCGTTCATTCGGCGAGCGTCGGCGTCGCGTGAAACAGCCTGGCTCGTGCTGCACAAACGTGGGCAGGAGAGGCCCAGCGGTGCGAAAGAGCAGCTGGCGGCGTACAGCGCGGCATGCCGTCAGTGGTTCTCTCTGGGCTCTGTCTCGGGCTTTCTTGGAAAGAAATGCCAGTCGCGGTGGACCGGTCCCTGTCTCGCCGCCAGCGCACACGGGCTACTGTGCTGCGTCTACAACGCGTCGTCCACAAAGCCCCCCACGCTGGCGGTATTCGACCCCTTGACGCCTGCGTCACTCCGCGGTACCGCGCGGCGCATTTTGTCGGTCGATGAGGGGTTTTCTTCCATTGAGGCTCTCGCAATGTGGAAGAAGAGCGATGGTGGCTATGGGATCGTCTTGGCGGGACCGATTTCTCTGTGGGGATCCAGCTGGGGTGTTTGCCTGTTCGATCTAGCAGATGCCAAACTATCCAAGGCGAGAAGATCAGTGGCGAGCGTGGATGCGATCACTGGGCGAGGATTTTTGAGCTTGCTGTGCTCGGCGCTACGCGGGGATGGGAGTGGTCTCTTTTGCATCTGGGGGGTGAGCTCCACGCCTCAAATCCTCGCTCAATTCGACATCCAGGACAATCTTTGGCGGATCGTCCACGGTTTCTTCCCGGATTCCATCTCCTGGCAGAACGCCGCGATCACGGCTTCCAACCAGCGCCGATTCACGGCCCAGGTTCATCCAAATCTCCTAGTTTCTAGAGAAAGATTGCTACTTCTCGTCTTGCGCGAGTCGACCGCGATCTTTGGACTGCAGATCTGGGAGCTGGATCCGAGCTCCCGGGGCTGGATCGAGCTGCGATCCATGCCCGAGGAGCTGGGAATGGAGATTTGCAGAGCAATTCATAAGAGTAGTTCCGCTTACGATTGCTGGCTCCACATTCGCGCTGTGGGCAGCGAGGATCTTGTCTATCTCGTGATGGATTGGGGGTGGAAATCTAGAGTTCTTGTCCATGAGCTGGGCAGTGGAGCTTGGCGATGGCTTCCAACCGACGACTTTAGCTGTAGAATCGATGGCTGTGTTTTTCCATTCCAACCAAACCCTAGTTTTTAAAACTATATTTCCCGCGTAGTGAGAATTAGGGTTCTTGCTTCCAGGGTATGCGCACGGTCTCCGAGCACCGGTTTGATGGCGAGGGCGGCGATTCTCTGGCGGTGTCGATTAGCGAAGTAAGAGATCGTGATCTTAGCTGGAGATTGGAATTTTGGATTGATTTGTTCTCGAGGAATGTAGGTGATGAAAGAAGATTATGGGCTCTATGTTTGGCCGTGTGGGATTTGCTTGGGAGAGTATGTTTGGCAGCAAAGGCATCGCTTTGCTGGGGCTACTGTGATCGAGGTTTGCGAGTTTCTTCTTCTTTTCTTCTTTGTTCTCAAACTACGTTTTCTTGGTTTTAAATCGCGCCAAACAGCTTGGAGCAGGCACTGGATTGCCAGGAATTGTTGCAGCAAAGGTCGGTGCCAGAGTGATCTTGACAGATTACAAGCTCTATCCAGAGGTAAGGATCAGAAACTTGGAGGACTCAAAATCTTTTTTTTTTTTTTTTCTCTTGTGAAAGGTCTTTGAAAACATGCGTAAGACTTGTGATCTAAACAATGTGGAGTGCGAGGTACTTTCTCCATGGTTTTGTTTGCTTTGATTTTGATTTCGATTTCCATTTTAGTTTAGATTCAGGGGCTTACTTGGGGAGAATGGGACGAGAATTTACTCGCCATGAAACATCCTCGTTTTGTTCTTGGAGCTGATGTTCTATACGATTCCAAAGGTAAGAAGACAAATGTGTGATTTCCTCTCCTTAGCGGCTCACCTTTCACAGATTTCGACGATTTGTTCGCAACCGTGAGTTATTTCCTAGCTAATAATCCCGACGCGACATTCATAACAAGCTACGAGTGTAGAAGGTATGTTCCAAAATTTTGAAGAGAAGAAATGTGTTTTTATCTTTCTTTATTTTTCTGCAGTGGCCACAGGTCGATCGAGTTTTTGATGGGAAAATGGAAGCTTTGCTGCACAAAGCTTGTGGACGTGTGTGATATTTTACCTCCCTTGAAACAATGTGCAATATCATCGTCGATATTGATAGCTGAAATCAAGAGTATAAGACCAGGTGTATAAGCAAATCCAGCTTCAAACATAACTTCAAACGCTCACACACATGGTATTCCGAACAGACTTTCTGAACAGACTTTCTGAACAGACTTTCTGATGCACATCCTCCAGGAGGGTGGAACGATATTCTTACAAGCTCAATACACCAAGACCTACTTCCGCAAACAGATGGATTGTAGAGGACGTCTGCCAACTCTACAAGTGCAATGGATCCAAGATCATGCCCGCCAAAGAGAGCAGCTGATGTGGATGTCTGCTGAACTCCTATAAATGCAAATTAGACGTCTCATTAATGATTTGCGATCCTCCATAATCTTAAGCACTCTACTATGATTGACATATTTTTTCATGGGAATTGACTTCTTTATCTACACTAGACATATCCTCAACCCTCATATACGTTCTCCAAAGGTTCGACTCCGCCCTCCAGAGGTTTACCTTCCGCATCCACGTAGCAACGACGGTCGAAGTCATATATAGTTATGTCGTACTTGGGGCCCCTCAAAGGCGCTCCACGGCTGCATGCAAGTGTCATTTAGCCATAAAAATCCAACACCCAAAAACAAAAAAGAAAAAAGACAAAAAAAAAAAAAACAAAAAGAGAGGAACTCACCGATAGCCAGCCCTGTGGAGAGCCTCCTTGAGTGCTACCGCTGATTCCCAACGCTCTTTTGGGAGGTCACAGTTCTTTGGGTCACTGTCTGACCCATGGATCCAATCAACAAACTTGCCCTTTCCAAGGCTTATCGACACATAGTTCGTCCTGTGTGCATTGGACCAAATCTGTAAGCTCGGACATAAGATCAAACCACAAACGTTTTCAGCTCTTCAACTCGTTGTCGCATTGAACTTTGAGCGTCCGGGTTGAATTTCATCACTGATTCGAGCATCATAAAAAATATGTCACGTAGAGGAGGCATGAAGAAGACACTTACTCGGAACAGCTTTCCTTTTTTTCAGAAACTCCTCTCTCAGTGAAGCAGCCACCGCGGCATCATCCAGAAAGGAGGGAATGAGCGACCGCAGCCGGCTGAGTGGCATGTCATGGATTTTGGCGTATATCTTACCCTTCTCATCCGCCGCCAGAGGTAATCTTCCAAACCGCTCCCATCTCCGCCGCGCCCTTCGTCTTTCGCCCTTTGCCATCAACCGTCCCTTAAGACTTTACCTAAAATGGCTAAGGCATTACACTGGATTTGGATGAGTCACAGCAAGATTCCCTCATGCATTAGCGAGAAAAAAACAATGGCCTCTGATTAATCTAGTTTGCTCTTCATTTCCACATCTGCATCTGTTATGTATATCCCTCATATGCTTCATCAGCTCTTCAGTGGAAAAGGTTATCAAAGAAAACTAAAATCTTTTAAAGGTTGATCAGTGAATCATACCTCCACTTGTTGATCAACCACTAATGTTGCACCAGATGACAATGTAACCATTGTAGTGACGGTTTATGTATCCTGCCAAAACCAGAAATGGAAATAGTTGAATCAAACAATAAGCAAGTTATGTTAATGCAGTAAGTATGGCTCATTTTATTTTATTTCTTTGATCTATCTCACTTGCAGATTGTTTAGCCACTTTTTCTTCACTACTGTACATAGAGATTTCAAGTAGTGTATTTGAAATGGTACAAGCACAGATAAAAGTGGCAATATCCATTGTCAAGGACAAGACACAATAAAGCTAGAGACAAGCCCAAGTGTTGAAGAAGATGATGTTCTCATCCTCTCTGATATTAGGATTGACAATACAGACAATACAAAAAACAATTATGGTTTATAGTGGCATCTCTCCTTTCAAAAGAATTTACCAATAGTCTTGCCATTACTTTAAAAATAACTACATCTATGCTCTCCGTAAGACCGACCTCACTCTCTTCGGCCAAAGCGGCCGCCTCCATCCCAACATGTTGATCTTTGTCCGCAATATCGTCAACCTGACATGAGAAGGTTAGTTTCTGACGTTTCAAGACATTATACCTTGTCAACGCCTGGGAACTTTAAGCCCAATCGCGCTGCTTGCTCCGAGGTCGAGGCGGAGTAAACCGCAGCCCATTTTTTTGACTCGAACAAGCTAACTGCGCTCAGTTTTGGCTGGAATGCACTATCAAAAGCTTCCCATCCAGTGGAGCCCTTTACAGTATCGACGTCGTTCACTTTTCTTTCCAGAAAACCGCTTGCACCTTCCTCTACAAGTTTGCCTTGGCGCCTAATATCTCACAGGTTAGATCAGCTCCATATGCGTAAAAACGAACCTTATAACCGGCCGCAGAGCATCCAAATCTTTCTCGGCAGAATGAAGCACTTCCGCAAAGTCTTCAGGTGCCTGAGTACCAGCCCAGTGAGCCCGGTTTCTCCAAGTGTCCGTCATACACCCTTCAGCAGCAGGCGGTCCTGAAGAAGACGGTTCAGTATCACAATAGCACAAATAGCTCTCTAATCAACCTGAATCTTTGCACTCTCCTCTTCAAGCTCCAAAAGCGTTTTTTCCCATATGGAAACGTAGTCCGCCATTTCACAAGACACTGCCATATCCAGCTACCAACAAAATGGTGTCCATGAGCTTTTTTCCTTGCATGCAAATTTCTTACTTCTTGTCCAGAGAGTGTTTCAGACAACTCCAGCCTGACTTCCTCCTCCACTTTCTTTACACTTTCGTCTTCCAAATGTTCTTGAGCGTCCGCGGACTGATAACATCACAGATAAGCCAGCTATTGGATGACAAAACAAAAGGATACAAACCTCACTTTCAATTTCCACCAGCCAATCGATCATCCTTGTCTTCCTTGTCTTCAGAATTTGAGCCCTGAACATCAAACATAAGTATCGAAACAATACAAAAACCTCAACTACAAAAACCGCTTAAACCTCAAGAACCCTAATTTATGGCAAGCGATCTTGGGCCCTAAAAATTCCGGCAAAACGGAGCATCTCGAGCAATTCCACGCGACGACCGAGCTCCCAACCTTTGTTCTGGACATGCGGATGGATCTCGATTGGTATGGAACGCTGGAGTCGAGATTCTTTCTTCTCCGCCAGCACCTCTAGTTCTTCCGCTTAGTGACGAAGAGTGGGCCAAGTTTGCGGTTGTATTAAGTGGATAATGACTTAAACATGACAACATCGGTGGCATCCCTGGTTTTTCTTGGATTGGAAGTCACTAAGAAACTCCAGTCTTTCTCGAGCTCACAGGCTGGGAGCTCCAGTCTTTCCTTGAGCTCACAGAGATCTTTGTTTTCTTCAGGTGGGATGGGCGAGAAGTGTAAAGGAGTGATGGAGCTCTTGGTAACCTTCTGCTTGAGTATCATCCAAACCTTTATCATAAACAACATGCGCTAATTATCTATGGACCTGGATGAGCTTAGAACTCTTACCCCACCAGGCCTCATCCGCAGCAACCTCTCCATCAAAGTCCGGAATTGATTTTGGAATCCATTCACAAGCTGTGAGTTTAATGCTTTACTTAACTTTGATTAGATTAGCTCAAATTATAATCTCATATTTTAATACTGAACATTCTTATTGAATTTTTTTTTTACCATAAACCTAGTGAAGGCACCATAAACTTGATTGGGGATTGCTAGGTTCAACCAGTGAATCTAGAGTACAGGGATGGAGCATATAATGGACAGTTGTTTGTAGCAAATTGTCTAGGTAATGAGGACGAGTTATTTCTCTACAATACTTTCCAGTTCATAAACGTTTCTCGTTTAGGTATCAGGATTTATTAATTAGATATTATTTTGAAGATTGGTGAAAAATTATAGACGTGACCCACTTTCCTTAAGGAAAATCTAAAGAGCTTGGTTGAGCTACTTGCACTTCCGTGTTGGAATTTCTCATTTGCTAGTATAAAAGTCCAACAGTGGGATCACAACCCACAATCTCTACAACTCGCATTCTATCATGTCTTCGCAGTTTATAATCTGCTTAGTCTTTGCTCTTGTAGCGCTTGCAGGGACAAGCAACGCTGTAAGCTATTAGTTTTTTTTTAAATGCCCACACTAGAACTATACCTAATCAGACTCAATCTGGTTTTGATGCAGGCATGCAACTTTGAGGATAGCTGTGACAAGAACGGAGGTTATAAGCGGCACAACACTGACTGCCAATTGTTACAAGCCCAATGGCCAGCTCCAAAGGAGCAGCATCAATCTTAATGATTGCTTCAGCAACAATGGAGGAACCCTCAACTGTGGCAGAAACTTTAGTGCCTCATGCCAGAATGTAGTGATCACCCCGTGGTACCATCCTCCAGCTCCAAGTGCTGCTTCCATCAATGCGCAGTGCTATGGCAATGGCCAGTATCGTTATACCTCAGTACTGATTAACAAGTGTGTGCAGAACAACAATGGATTCCTCCAGTGTTGTAGCAGCAAGTGAGTGAAGTTTCTCATGATAAAGCGATGTTATCTTAATATCAGATAAATTTCATGATTCTTTTGATTTTAGGGTTCTTCCATCTTAACATTGAGGCACCGCTCTTTCTTCGCGGATGCCACAACGATTTGGCTCGGGGCACTGCAAGAGCTTTTGCACACTTTTCTTCCGTGTCACAAACATGCTCAATCTTGCTTTTCGCAAAGTAGCGATTTACCACCTTCACCACCATTCTAACAACGATGCCGATCATCACAGCATTAGCTCACAGCAGTGCCCTGGATCTTCTTCGAGAAAGAACTCCTGATTTTCAGCACTAACAAGAGAACCAAGCAAAGTTCACGAATCTTCGACCTATACCCTCTGGTGCCTCCTCCACTGACCAGCTCTTGGAATCGACTCCAAAGTGCACAATCCGTGAGTTATACGCCATATACTGTTGCTCCCATCAGTGCAAACAGTGCACACCTCCAAATCATCAAACTCCTCATCACGGCTCGAAACAATCTCCCACTTCTCTCCCCGCCTCTCTACGACAACCAGCCCCTCGGGATCTTCTGCCTGCAGCTCATTACTAACCACGAACAGCCGATCCCGATGCTGAAGAAGGGACCAGCTCCGTTCGAACATCAACTCGTCGGAATCAAGCTTGAAAATGCGCCAGGAATCATCCCACAAGTTGTATCTCACTAAGGCATCCGTGCCAAGCATCACCACCTCCCCGTGATCCAACATCGGATAGAATTCATTCCCTATGTCTGAGTAGTGTTTGTTCTCGCGCAAGGACCACTCGCCCGAGGCCGAGTCGTAGATGTAGAAGGCGCCCCATGGCCCCAAGCTAGCGACGCAAAACTCTCGCGTCGATCGATCCCTCTCGCGGCGGTACACCGTCAAGCGCATGTCTCCGGTATCTGGCGGCAACGGAACTCTCACCGGGGAGGAGTTGAGATCGCTGTAGCGCCACACGAAGATGGAGGGTAGCGCCAACCAGTCCCAAAACGTGGCCAGGCACAGCAAGCCCGCGTCGCTGCTGGCGATGGTCATGTCGTCGGGGAGCGTCTGGAAGTGGCGCCACTCACTGCGAGGGGAGCTGTCGAGCGGCTTGACGAGGAGGGATCCAGAGAGACGAAGGAAGAGGTGAGGGATGCAGCGGTGGGAGAGAGCGTAGCCTTTGCGGAAGCTGGGATCGTCAATTGCTCGTCGCCATTCGCGGCACACGCACCTGGCCTGGCACAGATCGATCGTGGACAGCCTGAGGAAGACGAGCTCTAGCTCTGTCACGACTTCGCCGCTGGCGATTGTAGTTGGCAATTTCTTTAAGTGCATCTCCAATCTAATATACTAAGTATTAATTTCTTCAATTTTAGGATAATCTCATTTATCAATATGCTTAAGTGTATATATTTGATGGTGAAATGTGCTTGTGTATTATCCAAGTGTGTCATGGCACTCTAGCAATAGAACACTTTGGTGTTTACAAGACATTATAATTTTTTGCCCCATATACATAAGTATGTTAAACACTTTATCCATATTGACAATATGTATTAATGGACTAAGATGCCTTAATATACTTTGTTTGGTCTTTTCCAACACTTTTATTTTACTCCAGGGCCTTGCAATTCCTTTTGTTATGGTCGATTGACAATTTTATATCAGAGAGTTTAACATAAATCCATATTTTCTTCTCAAAATCCAAGTACAATTGTAAATCTTCCTATCAAATTGGTTGAAGGAAAAGTGAGAGAAAGCTAAAATTGTAGAGCTACTCACATATCTAGAGCACATTTTTCAGCACAAATGACAATGAACTCTTGATGAGCTAGATTCATGTGACAATCATTCTTCAAATTTACTTATGGATGGTAAATATAGTTATTATTAGTGATAAGTAAGAATATTAATAATTACTAGAAAACTAGAGTTAAAATCACAATTTTTAGATTAAAGAATATCCTAAAATATGCCTGAATAATCTTGGTATAGTCCTTATACCCTCTAGAAACAAAAATTGGTCATTAAATAAAATCTTATATACAATCTATTGTTCATTGTATAAAATAATTTAGTAAAAGCAAAGTTGTAGATCTTAAAAAGGATCTAAAATCTAACTAGTGATATGTTATTTAACTGATTTTTCTCATTTATAAATAGAAATATAAATTATTGGGTAATTGGGATTATATATGCAATAAAATATAGGAAATTTAGCAAATCTTTTGTATATGAGTCCATTGAGGCTCTTAATTGTTTCCCAATCTTTCCTTGTCTGAAGAATCAGAGCATTCCACTAATTCTTTTAATTGTGGTGCTAGTAACACGATGATGTGTGACCACAATTTTAACTCTAGTTTTCTAGTAATTATTAGTATTCTTACTTATCACTAATAATGACTATATTTACCATCTATAAGTAAATTTGAAGAAGGATTGTCACATGAATCTAGTTCATCAAGAGTTCATTGTCACTTGAGTTGAAAAATGTGCTCTAGATATGTGAGTAGCTCTACAATTTTAGCTTTCTCTCATTTTTCCTTCAGGAAGATTAACAATTGTACTTGGATTTTGAGAAAAAAAATATGGATTTGTGTTAAACTCTCTGATATAAAATTTTTAATCGACCATAACAAAAGGAATTGTAAGGCCCTGGAGTAAAATAAAAGGGTTGGAAAAGACCAAACAAAGTATATTAAAGCATCTTGGTCCATTAATACATATTGTAAATATGGATAAAGTGTTTAACATACTTATGTATATGGGGCATAAATTATAATGTCTTGTAGACACCAAAGTGTTCTATTGCTAGAGTGCCATGGCACACTTGAATAATACACAAGTACATCTCACCATCAAGTATATACACCTGAGCATATCGATAAAGGAGATTATCCCAAAATTGAAGAAATCAATACTTGCTATATTAGGTTGGAGACACTTATAGAAATTGCCAATTAGGTGGGTGAGGCAAGATGGGCAAGTGGACAAGACATGTGGGTGGGTGAGATGGATGAAGTGAGGAGCTACATGGGTGAGGTGGTTGAAGTGAGGAATGGTGGGCATACATGTCTGCAAGGAATTGGGCAAGTCTGGTTTGCCGTTGAACCAGATTAGTTTGGCTACAGGCAAACGGGGTGCATGGGCAAGGAGATAGATGGTGTAGTGCACAGTTTTTACCCTATAATGATTTATTATAGGATAACCACAGAATGAAATCTTAACTCTTGGATACATGGGTAAAGAGTAGTGGAGTGGAACTCAAGTTTCAAGGCTTTTAAGCCACTGAATGAAAGGATAGAACCAAACTCTCAAGCATATAACCAAAAAGCAAAAGGATAAAAGCACAGAGGGATATAAGAATAGTCTTAGAGTATATAACAACCCAATGTTAAGACTAATATACA